ACTGGACAAAAGACAAAATGAAGCTCGATGTATTGGTTCTACAGGAATTAACGAAAAAAAACGTCATGGACCGAATTTTCATCGGTGAATCACTGCTGAATCGCAATAAAATCGATCCATTTCTGAAGCGATTTGTGACCAATGATAGTGATATATCACATTTTTGGTATAATAAAATTTATAACAAACATTAAAGTGTATTTTTAGAATTTAATTTTTTATGACAAAAGATTTTATTTATCCAGTATCCATGTCAATGGAACTCATGTTAAATTTGTCGGCAATAATTTTTTCATGTCATAAACTATCTTTTTATAGGCAATATAAAATTTATAATTTACATAAACTTCAAGGAATCGCAACAGAAATTTTGTCCTTTCAATTATTATGGATTTACATAAGTTAACTATAAAAAAAAAGTTTTTGATTGAAACATGAAAGTCAAGAAATGTATCTACACTCATCAGATATAATCCTAAAAATAAAAAATAATAATAATATGTATAGCTTTGAAGTTTAAAAAAATCGTTATAAATCACAATTTTGTTTGAGGAAAACTAATTTGAATTCCATTATGAAGAGGATTAAATAAAATATAAATATTTCCTTAGACGGCACACAACAATGAAGCTGTGGAAATGCAGTTGAAATATTATCATTCAGAGATTTATCTAAATACTCAATGACATATTTACGCAACCGAAAGCATATAAATTTATGTGGAGGCTGTTCCGTATAGAATTTTGTATCAAAATGTCATATTGTTTAAGCATTGTGAGGAATTATTTAGTATGTATTTTAATATCCAATTACAATGAAATAATGGAACGTATGGAATGGGCCCTTTGGGATTGTTTCGTCCCACCTCTGTGCTGTGTTGGCAAAGTTTATGCAAAAATTCACTCTGTTTTCTCAAATTGAAAAAGCCCCATACTTTGACTTTTTGCTTTGCGGTCTTCATGCGAATGAGTAAATTCCTTCAATGCATTGCGGCATACCAAAATAATGACATAACAACGAATAGGAAGTGAAAACAAGGTCAGTCTGGTGGTGGGGGATTAGCTGCGATAGTTGATAGTTCAGTTCGAAACGTGACTGAAATGCATAACAATTTTAACTGGTTCAAAAAGTATCAGATAAAAATAATGGGGAAATAAGTAAGCAAAGCGACTGTTGACCCATTTCTCGATGCAACGAATATTAAATTTTTATTTTCTCCTTCAGTTCCGAGTGTCAGAATTAATGGTAATTAACTTACATTGCAATTGTTTACAACAGTCAAAGGCCAATTTTTAAAAATGCATTGTCAATATTTAAAAAATGTGATATAAAATTTTTTGTAATTAATAATAATTGTGTTGCTTTTAGTTAATTAAAAATAAAAATTAATATGTTCAAATTTATGCAAACGAAGTACGATGGCCGTAGCAGAGAATCAGTTTGAGTTTAATTCATCACAGTTAATTGCTTATATTATGTCCTCGTGATGCTCAGTCAAAGTGACAAAAAAGTATGATACCAAGTCCGTGCTAGGGCTACTCAAATAAGGAGCTTTTGTGTGGTTAATTCAATATAATCGATTCAAGTGTTAATCAAAGTAATAGGACATGTCAAACTAGTGCGGTTATAATCGGGATGGCTATATAAATATGTCCATGAGAGATATATTTAGGAAAGGGTCTGCAGAATGAAGTTATCTAACTAATGCCGAATCTGCAATCTGCTTTATAAAAAATAATACTAACAAGCAATATCGATTAAAACTGTAACTGTCAATTGTAGAACTACCATAAGTTATGAGAATTATAATTAGTTAATCCTAATTGAGGCAATCGAAAACTTTGGCTCAAATGAGACGAGAAGGGAATCAACTGGAGTATTTATATAATACTGGCCATAACAACCAGAAACTGCAACAGATTATTACTCTACAATATAGGTCTAGCAAGTGGTTTTAACAGATAAAAGAGTCTGTCCAATATTTATTAAATTGTTATTTCTAAGCAGTACATTGAGAAAAATTTTGTTTCAATATTTCCTTTCTGGACGAGAAAACATTATACAGATATTTCCTACAAAAATGTCTGAGTTTTTTTTAAATGAGTTATGACGCTAGTGTCTATTTTACTTAATAGCAACTAATGTATTTGATAGAGAGGTTTCGAACATAGCGAGTGAACTACAAAAACAAAACTATTTTAATAATTTAATTAATTAAACAATTTGGCAATGCTCGACACAGCTGTATAGTCAGCCAAATTTTCAATTAATTAAAATATTAAAAAAAAAATTTGTTGTAGTTTACTACTGTTTAAAACCTTTCTTCAGAAATTTTTGTGAAACTCTATTTACTCTTTCTTTTTTTTTTGGTGCTGTTAGTTAGCACTTTGACTTTTGCTTATTTATAATATATTTGAGGTCCTTTGACTACTGATGTGAGAGTTTTGAAGTGTTTACTTTTTAAAAGAATGTATTTAATGTGTGATTAATTTATGTACTTTAGATAATTTTTTATTTTACAGAATACATTAATTTAAAAGCAAATTAAAAAACAATATATCTTTGAAGCATAACTTTTATAGAGAGCTGATATCGCATTACAACTGAAATGATAAATCTAGAGTCATTTCTTATTTAAAATAGTGTTAAGTATGAAGTATACATTATTTACCTATAAAAACTTGATTATGACATTACAATGACATTACATCTATTTAGAAATATGTCAATGGAATATTTTCTAAAAACACTTTCTCTATCACTATTAGTTATTAAATATTTGATTAAAACAGCATATATTTTTTTGTTAATTTTACAAACACAACACAATCCTTAAGATCATACAGATCTAAGGATCTATCTAAGGATCTAAGGATAAATGACCAGGTTTGTTTGAAATAATGGAGCAAACCTTGAAACGATCTATGTAAAAGACGTTTAAAATCTGCTTCTACACCAGGAAATTGTTACGAAAATTAAGAATATGGTGTGATGATATCTTTCATTGACATAAAGAGAAGAGCTCTTTTATGGAACTAGGAACGATATTTTGTATCAAGTTTTAGGTTACGAAAAGCTGTGTATAATTGGTGCCATATTCTCTAAGAATGCAACAAAATCATTTTCCTTTCTAGAGTTTTAAAAAGGGTTTAAAAGCATTTTGTGTATCGTCTAATGACTATTCATGAGGTTTGTGTTTACCGTGACGAATTTAAATTCAAATAAGAGACGAAGGAATGGTATGAAACTGACTCTTTCACTCTGAAGTGAGTTTTGAAAGATCATCGATTGACCGACTGAATTTAGTAGAAATCTTCTTAAGTACCTTGACAAATATTTTATCTTAAGTTTTACTTTACACAAAGCTGCCTGCAAAATTATTTAATAATATAATATAACAATGCAACAAAAAATATGTATGAATTGCTCCTTGTCAACACATATGGAGTAATATAGAAGGGATAAAAAAAGGTTTTAAGCATCGTTTCACCATTATAGATGTAATCTGGGTCTACCAACTATTTTTAATCCAAAGAAGACATCAGTCCGCTCAGTTTTATCTTACACTTTTCTCAGGGAAAAGTAAATCACTTGAGATTATTATTGAAACTTTTAATCTAATTAGAAGCAAATATTCGTAAAAAAAACTCAGTTCAAACAACAACAAAAAATTTTTTAATCAATTCCTTATGAAATTGGAACTGTGATTATTATTGCAAACTTTTGATTTATTATTATTATTAAATAACAGGCTATGAATGCACCCCGACCTAAAAGATCTATTGTATGCTTAAAAGCCAATATTTTTTGTATTGCTTAAAAAACAATTCTAGACTATTTTTAAATCTTGTAATTGATTGTGGGCTTAATTTTAACTATTTGATTTGGGACTAAGATCCTTTTTCCAAAATATTTTAGAATATGTTCTGATGTTTTCTTATCCTCATGACAGAGTCGACAGAAGTCACTTTCTACCACACCTATAATTAAGTCTACAGTGTCTTGTAAGAAGTTCAGTGTAGATTTTAATGTCGTTTCTGCTAAGGCCAAGGATAGCATCACCTTTGAATTTATCAGGATCAATGAATCTTCTTGATTGTCGCATGCCTGTTTGGGCTCTCCAGTGTTGAAGTAGATGTTGTTTCTCCCGTTCACATAATAAGTTATTTGTGAAGCTATTTATTATCCTGCAGAAGGGCTCTGGATCAATGAAAGGAACCTTTTGATACAATTGGAAGCAAAAATTTGTAAAATAAACTTAGTTGGCAGAAGAAAAACATTAACTTCCATAGATGTGATTGAATTACTTTCTTGAACTTTTTGGAACTCTTCGGAAAATCATTATAATAAAATAGGGATTGAGGGATTTTGTACTGACAAATAAAATTATTTTTTTGAATAACTTATGGTGTTTTCGATTCGTAAAACTGGATTGAATCTAGATTTACTCTCAATTTGTTGAATTTTGTTGCCCAATCGAACGTTTTTAGAGTAATTTAACATTACAAATCACACTTTATTTATCAAGTCATATAAAACAGCAGTTCATTGTAGGGTAATCTTGCTACTCTGACAAAATATCTAGAATGTTATAAATTAAACTCGAGTGTTATAAATTGATCTTGAGTGTTATAAATTAATCTCGAGTGTTATACATTTTGCTCGAGATTTACGAAACGAAAATGAAAATTGCACTAAATATGAATCTGGATTGAAACAGTTACTCCAGATCTACCAATCGAAAACAACATCAGTATATACTTTGAAAAGTAATAGACTGTAACAGATTAACAGTTAAGCTACGTATTAAGTTTTAAGTTGTTGAGTAGCAAATGTTTTTAAAAATATGTATATGTATATTTGCATTTATTTTTAAATTTATTAAAAATATATTTATATACATATTTATTTATAAGTTGAAATCTTTTTTTATCTTTTTATAAATTTTTAAAACTTTTATCATTATCATGTAAAACATTTTCAACGCATAAACTACAAACCTTTTTAATCACATTATTTCCATTGTAATAAATAGGTGGTTCGTTAAATTCCTCTTCAATCCATGATACAACCTTTTCGGATACGAAAGGTGGCACTGGCACACCCCAGAGCCGTTTATTTGGTTCCGGCTCTTCCGTTTCCGGTGATATATTATCAAAGCTTAAGCGCAGCGCAGATGTCGGTGACAACTGACGCTCGATTTCGTTGAATTTATTCATAAACTTTGTAAAATCCATTTCGTTTGTGAGAATAAAATGTACGAGTATATTAAATAAATATTTAAAATGTAAAGTTAGACACTTTGAAAAATAAATACACAAAACACTTATGTTTATGCGAAAAATAAATAAATATCTTAATTTATAAAATATTGATTTGAAATCGATTCAATAAATAAATGATCACATGAATGAGCAATCAAACAAAGGAAAGAAGGAACAGAATACATTTACTTCCTAACAATACTTTAACGTACGTACGAACTTTTCTTTGTTGAAGCACTTTCACTTTCAAGACCTCGACACACGCTCGAGATAAACCCGCACGCGATTTCCGAATTGCTATATTAGTATAGTATTTATATGGTGACTGGTTGTGTGTGTGTGTAATGGTACCGTTGTAACGGTATTAAGATTTAAAAAATTAACCGTTTAGCATGAATTTCCGTTCAGTACCGTACAATCGCAAGTCCAAAACGCTACTCGCAGGATATTTTGTTTTGACTTGGTTTTTAAGCGTAAAAACGACATTGAAGGGAAATTTTGGAGAGGAAATTTTTCTCACTTGGTGAGAGTTACTTTCAAACTTTTTTTTTTTTATCCATGCTATTCTCTGTTTATTAATAGCATTTAAATATATATACAAATATTTTAATAAAAATAAAAATATATATATTTTGGCAGAAATCGTTTTAAAAATATTTATAATTTTATTTGAAAATTTTAATAAAAATTATTTTAAAGCGTTAATAATTTAAGCGCCAAAAAGGGACATGCGCAGTTGAGAGAGAAAAATGGTTCTTAGAATATGTAGGAGCGTTTAATTTACTAGCAATGACGTACTTTATAGTATTATTTAATGCTTTTAAGATAGTTTTATAGCTAAACAAAAACATTTGAGTATATTAAAGCGAAAACATTTTTTTCTTTAAACCATTTTGGGTCTATAAGTACCATAAGGTGTTTAGACTACGAATGAGATTGCAGATTCAGTCAATTCAGTAATGAAAAGCACAAATCCACAATTGCTTCCGACATTGTCCTTGAAAAAAGGCGCCAATTGATGAAATCCCATAGAATTCAGATAATAATACCATAAAAAATTGAGTACATTTCTGTTTACATAAAAAATATTATAATGGTTATAAATAAATATATACAATAATAAACGAGTATGTAGTATGTATTACATAAAAAATTACCTGCCCTAATAAATTTATGGGGTGTTGTGTGGAGTTTTGGGGGTGGGAAATTTAATTAAAACTTTTGTAATATCCTAGAAAATTGCAAACATAGTATGAGGTAAGTGATGGACAACGTGTATGAAACCTAAACATATTTCAGGAAAAAATATTTTAATTATTATATAACATAAATAATTATGACCCGAAATCTATTTCAAATGGCAAAGGGGATGATAGTGAAAAAGTTGTCATATAAAAATAATAAAGTTTTTGTTATAGCAGAAAAAAATTTTAATTAAAAATTGAACTAGAAAATATAAATAATTACTTCTTCACTAAAGCCTTTACTAAAGAAATTTTTCCTACAAACAATAGTGTTCAAATTTAAAAAAAAAACAACACTTTTATAGTGGTTACGTTAATTTATATAGCCGTGGTTTATGCGTTAGCTATAAAAATAATACTGCAAGTGCACTAATTACTGCAATGAATACACAAAACAATACACAAAACACAAAAAAAAGGTATGTTGGTTGCATATGTTAATATCGGGCCATCGGTTCAAATTTGACAGGATTCAATCCCTGACAAGAGCAGTCCAAAAGTTATATACGGAAAATTAAAGCCATATTTAATGTTGCTAAGATTATTATTATTATTCATTCCAGTTCGTTCTCAGGGGAACATTGGGCCTTAACGAATTTTTTCCAACTGTCACGATTTTTTACCAGGGTTTTAGTTTCTCCAAAGGTTTGGATTTCTTTCTCTAGTGTTCGCTTCCACGTTTGCTTTGGCCTACCAGGTCTTCTGCTTCCTTGAGGATTCCATGTTAATGCCTGATTTCAATTGGTGCCTTTCTCAAAGTGCCCGATTCTATAGAAAGTTTGTGGCATCTTGACCATTGTTAGGAAATTTCTAATAGTGCGGGGCCACTAAGATAAGTAAAACTAATAACAATTTCCCTTGTGGTTTTTAAAGAAAGATGCACATATATGAACTACGTCTTCTGGGTATATAAGGAACAGAGATAATAATATATTTCTGCTTAGTTCTATTACACTCTACTCAAACAATAACACTGGCTTCTCCACTGCTCTTGTTTTTTCCGGTCTAATTTTTAATTCATTTTTCTATATTTTTGATTTTGTAGTTTTGGATACATTGCACATCACTTCATGTTAAAGTTTAGTTTTCATACCCTTATTTCTTATAAATAACGAATTTCAGCTATACGCATCAGATATTTGCAAAGCTCAAGAAGTTGCACTAAACATGTAGACCTATTTTATTTCATATAAGGCCTACGTCCACTGTGAAGTAAGAATATTATAAGCTGAATTCTCAAAAAGTAATAGGGTTTGAACAGAAGATAACCTAGACTAGTAAATACGTAAAGCGGTAGAATAAAACAAATTGATATGGGTCATATTACACTGACTTAGAGCACAAAGATTTGTGTTTTGAAACGATATAGTTAGTTAGTCAATATACATATATTAGGAAACCAGAGATTTTGATTTAATAGACTCAAATCAAGATACTATACCTGTAAGAGCTGCATTTGAAATATTTATGAAAATAAGTAAAATAAAAATGTCTGCAGTAAATGACTTTTTTTTGGAAACGATATAGTTCATAAATTTAATAGGATTTCAGATTTTTATGGTAAATAGACTAAAATTTAGCTAATAAATCTGGAAAAACTATACATGAAATATTTAAAAAAATAAGTGATTTAACGATGTCTGCAGTACATATCTTTTTATTTGAAGTAAGTCGTGGTTATCGAGGTGGTTGACGAATTCATCATAAAATCAGGTCTTTTCAAATAAATACACTTAAATCTAGCTATTTATTAGGAAATCTGACTTTCTGAATTAATAAAACTAATTCTATCTACTCAATCTGGAAGAGTTATATATGAACTATTTATGAAATTAAGGAATAAAGCAATATGCCATAAAATTTTGGAACACAGATCTTAATATATTTTAAAAGAAATAATTGACAGATCTAATCTAAATTGATTTAAAATTTAATCCCATTAAAAGTAAGATATGCTGGGTAAGTGTAATAGTCACAAGAAAGGCATTTTTTTTAGAAATAATCACTGACAAGGTAAGTTACTAATAGGTAATAAAAATGTTAAGTTAGATAATCTTACTTGAAGAGGATTTTTAAAAATTATTAATAACATTTATAACAACATTTAATTGAAAATAATCTATTATATTTAGTGTAAAATAATCAAAACCATTATAAGATGTTTTGGTCCCAAATCCTAGGGATTCGTTTAGGTTTGGTGACCCATTATATTATAAAATTTTTGAAGATTCGAATTATATTTAAAATTAAAATGAATTTGATAAAAATGATTTGAAATCATGAATATAAAACAGATATCAGGAAACCCTTATGATATACATTTTGATGATTTCATCACATATTGGCAATATATATTTCATACATAATTTCTATATGTATTTATCATTAAGATTAAAATTCATTTGTTAACTTTAAATAACAAATTTTAATACAAATTAGCACAAACTTTTTTCACACAGTACCACTAAATGCAGAGACTACGACTCATAATCATAATTTCTATCAACCCCCCTTACGGAGGTCAACCTTTGATCAAACACACACCGACACTGAATGAACTAAATGAATTAGATAGTAAAAGCTTTATTAACAATATAAAAAATATTTATAGAAGAATATAATAATAAGGAATATGTTTAAATTATTTATTTAAAGCATATTTTATATGGTTATAGTATACAAATAGATTTTTTTAGAGCAACACCTGTAGACAAAGTATAAATATTTTCCAACAAAATCTTCGCGAGAGGTCAAGGCGCATGTACAACAACAACCAAGTGAATTATTTTTCCTTTCATATAAATTATATACTAAAATAAAAATATGCTAGCACCACCTACTGAATCACTACAAATTGTAATCTTATATTCTAATCCTTAACTATTATCAGTAACTGACAAATTTTTATTTTTTCAATGATATTCATTGAATTTATGTATGAAAGAGAGGGGAGTTTATCTAAGGTCAATTAAATAGCGGCAAAGTAATTTACAGCATTTCCATTATTCAGTTAATTGATTTTTATATGAGAAAATTTAATTACTCACCTTTGCTAACTTGATATCATCCATTTTCTGATTTTATTCAATTTAATAAATTGTAAATATTTTTTGTTTACTTATTTACGCCTTCCACCCTTTTCAGCTGTTTAATTTTTCTTTGTATTGGAAGGAATTTTTTTTTGTAATTTAAAATCCATTAACTATTGTGCTTCTGTGTTAGTTTAATTTTATTCACTTAGTTATTTATTCACGTTTTGCACTTTATTTGTAAAAATATTTAATTTTCATTTCATTTCACTAATAATTTTGATTAAATTCTACACATATACAAAAACCGAACGTGCAACGCGAAAAATGCAGCAGAAAAGTTTGAAGAAAACAAAAGTATACAAAATGTCAAAATCCGTTGACAGCTGTCATTTAAGCAAAAGGCACAGTGGTGGCTAAAAAAGAATGAATCCATTTAATTTACTGTTTGCACGACAATATATGAGGAAAGTAATAAATGAACATTTTGTGTTTAACAATATTTTTGACAAAAACATGTGTATGCTTTTAAGTAGATTTAAGTTAATATACTTTATAATAAGACGTAAACGGCTTTCTTGTAGAATAATACTAATTGTTAACTATATACTGCTTAAATGAATTCAATATTAGAAATTCTCCTTATGAAGGCAAAAGCGAATTTGCTGAAACACGTGTAGAGATACACAATATAAAACTTTCGAAATAAAAGTTAATATATTCTAAAAAAAACAAAAATAACCGCATTTTATTTTTATTAATTTTCTTATGTATTAATGTAACCAAAAAGTCCACCCATTCATCTATTTCTTTTCCGAATATTTTTGGTAATATACTTTTTTTTTTGGTGTTATGATACTAATTGGGAGAAATCGACATATTTTACTTTATATCAGTTCTTATATTAACAAATAATAATGACGAATATCAGACTAAGCTGAATTACAACTTTCCAGCACCTGATCTAACTTCAATTTATACAAGTTTATTGATAAAATTTTAATGCTATAATAGAGCATTGTATTGCTATATCTTTATCAGTAATTTAAATTGCACAGTTTTTGGTTAATCTATGATCTAAATTGAAAGACGAGAAGAAATAGGTAATAAGTTGGAATAATTTTTGAATAATTATCTACAAAATGTGAGCAAAACAATTTGATGCAGGATCGACACACATAGTCCTTTCTTAAGGTACTGACTTATACTCACTAATGTCTGAAACTTGAATATTGTTTTAAGGAAATAAAAATTTAAAAAGGTCATTAGATATATAGCACCTAAATATTATATATGTATTAGGTGTATTCTTTTGACATTAATGCTCCAATAGAGAAGAAGAGATTATTTAAATCCTTTTTTGTTAATCGACTACCAAACAATGTGATTTTCTTCGATGCGATTTCATTCACATGCCTTCGGAATCACATAATATAAGATTCCATTTGACCTATAATTTCCTTAGCAGCTGTTAAGATGTTAAAGTTTATTTAAGATTAATATTGAGTTAAGGCAAATGTTTCGGAGAGCTTTGAATCCATTTGTCTATATTGATATTAATTTGGACCACACAGTTTTAAACTTATACACCATAAGATCATATTGGTTTTAAAATTAGTTGGGGAGAGTTGGGATCCTTTGACCGATGAGTCAATTCATGTTTACAGCCCTAGTTAAAGCTAATTTTGTATTATTTTTATGTTCTCCATCTTACCTTTGTAACTGAGGGTTATGCCAAGATATTTGCTGGTTTTTGAATATGGGATAGGAGTGGAATTGCGTGATAATTTGCATTTGTTTGCAGGGTGTATGGAAGTGAGCTAGGTATGTCATCTTTTGTTTCTTTTAGGTTCGAGTACCTATTTTTTGTGTCCCACGAAAGTAACACTGAGTTAAGTAAGACTATATAAGGGTACCGTATTGAAATGAAAGACAAGATCCTAGTCTATTGATTAGACTTGCGTGCCATATTTTGTCGGATGCTCAAGCAATGTCCAAAGAGGCTGCTCTTTAAAGGATATATACCTGCTGTGCTTCTGTATGCGTGATCTACGGAAGATTGCTCAGAGTTTATTCCGAATTGGTGAGAAAGGATCAGATTAGGAGACTGTGTAATTGGTATTATCTGCTTAAGAATAAGTTTTTCATAGCTTAGAGATTTTTGCTTAGAGGCAGATTATTCGTCATAAAAAATAACTTAACTAACATTATTATCTCAAAAACTTTTAACAGGGTTGCGACATATTGGAGACAAATCGTTTAATTTAATAACTCACACACTTTTAGTAGACTTTTACTAAGATAAACTTTCCACAAAGTTAGCTTAGTTATTATTTGTATATATCTATATGTATTTCGTCAAATTCGCTTTTGCTTTCATCAGGAAAATTCCTAATATTAGGACTTGTTTAAGTCTTTTCATTTCTCTTTTCAGTTCAGTTTCAAAATAATGGTTTTATGCTCCAAGGATTTGAAGAAATTGACGAATTGTTTTTTATTTTGATTAAAATTAATTAATTAATAAAAATAATAATTAATAAATAATTAATAATTAATAAAATTAATTAAATAATAATTGTTTTTGTGTAAGTACTTTATTCCAACTTCATATATTTAATTAAAAATTTTTTTTTTGCATTTATAAAATATGTGTTTCTATATAAAATATTAGCCTTAAGCTTTTTTTATTAAAAAAATATAAATTCAGAATGGCAGCTAAAGTAAGTTTTTATAAAACAAACAATCATAAAAAGTTAACATTTTATAAATATTTATAAAACAAATCATCAACATTTATAACGTACTATTACACCTTATCTACGCATACCAACGTATTTAGTCCAGATACTCTTCGTTTCAAAATAAGTTTTGTTCCGTGAACATATGATCGCGTCCTTAAAAATAGTTGCATACGAATCAGGAATAGCAGGATTTTTATAAAGATTATACACAAATTCATAGATCTATATTGGAAAAAAAAAAATAGCCTTAAAGACAATTTAATTAATAAGATTATTATAACTCTTACTTTAACTTCTTGATCCTTAAAGAAAACATGATCGCACAACAGTTGCAGGCTTTCTGGAAATATTTCATTGCGCGCTTTATATGTTGTAGCCACAATATCTAAATTGCCCAATAATACACCGCAACCGGAAAGTACATCCACAGTTAATATTAAAACGTCTATGATGAATAACGCCTTTTCAAGTTTTTCTTTATTTGATGATTCCGCCAACAGATTTTGAATTTGTAGCAGTAATTCCATAACCCAACTGGAACTTTGCTCATCACTATTGAAAGCATAGAGTGTAGCAGCTAAATGTCGGAATAGAAAATGATGCTCCTCACGTTTCGTTGCAAATGCGTCTATAATAGTTGTTAACCAATGTAGCTGATTCGCTAATTTGCTATTGTAGAGCACTAAATAGCAGCGTATAATTGTGGCTTTCTTTAGTTTGCCAATTGGCGTTTCCCACCAGTTAGCTGGTGAGGTGAGACCATCAATAGTAACAACAGGTAAACAGGAAACAACTTCAGTATAACGTTCAAAAAGCTAAAATAGGAAGATTATTATTATTATTATTATTATTATTAGTATTAATTATTACAATAATATTTTTTTCTCCGACAATATAGAATAGATTTGTTTTTGTTGTGCAATATGCTAAAATATAAGAGGATTTACTGCTAATGTTGATGTTGTTGTAACCCGCTGGGACCTGCTTGCGAAGTTCTTTTAGGAGGTGTTGAAAGGCACTTGATCGTAGCTGGCGACAAGTGGCTCCGGGGCATAGACCTGGCCGTTCTTGGGACCAATTCGCAATGTTATATATTTTGCTTCATTCAAAGATTGTGGGATAAGAGCTTATTAGTAGGCTCTAGGGGAAAGAATTTTAAGTCTACATATAGATTCAGTATACTTTTAGAGATTATATTTTCAGGATATATTTCCAGATATTGTTTTCGAGTCAGTAGACTTGAATTCAATTTCCGACTAAATGAAGAAATGTTGACATAAGTATAGGCCAAATTTTAGATTGATTTGGTTTATATATGTGTGGAGTAGAGCTGTCAATGTCGATTATCCTAATATGAGCAATACATATTAGTATACATATCAAAATTTCATCTATTCAAATATTTAGAAACATTTAAATTATTTAATGCAAGCCGCTTATTCAAACTGTTCCAACCATTTCATACATATTCGTATATTCTTATTAGCAAAATAATTCGAATAATATTAATAGCAATAGAGAGGTAATTGAGTTTTTGGAAAGGTATTAATGACATTTGAATGAGTTCTGATATTATTTATTTTACATCTATTTAATGAGAGACGGCTTAAACAATTTGTGGAAATTTATACGCTTTGATTTGGATTATAATCACCTTCCCTCTCATACTACTATTTAAGTCTTTTTAATTTTTTCTTTTTCCTTTTTTTTTGCTTTATAGATCTTTATGGTCTACAGCAACAACATCCAACAGAATTTAACGACCGTTCCTTAAATTCAAATAAAATGAATAAACTTCGAGTTATTACTATTACTTCTAAAAATTTGTTTTGATTAATATCACCACTTATAAACCCTATCGATTATAATGACCGGATTGGATCGATCCCTACAATATCGTTGCAACCAGTTTCGACTGTATATCTTATACATAATGCGTTAAATAACTTACTCTAGAATCCAAATCCATGGAATCCATATGACGTTCTACGATTAATGTGTAAACATCTAGCACTTCTGGTAAATCACATTTGCTGTATATATATTTGACACTATCAAGAAATTTTTCGAATAGGCAACCTAAGATATGAAAAGTTGTGTTAGTTAAGATTTTAAAAATATATCACATAATTTTACTACCTTCAACAAATCCATTTAATTGCGATTCTTTGAAACAGTACACAGACACCTTCTCCGCAAAATTTTTAGTAATTTGTAAACTAACTCCACCACTAATGTCAGGTAGCAAAGAGAATAACAAAAGTAAATCTTCCTCAAAGCAGTTGGGTTCAAAGTCCAAGAGAAAGTTCTCTAATAAACGCCTAGCGGTACCAGAGTAAAGTACTTGATTTGTTGCAATAAGTATGCAGTATTTTCGTGTATCAAATGAGATATGAAAGAAACTATATAAAAAACTCCAGTCAATTGGCGGTATGGGTTTTGGAAACTTCTTCGATATTGCACGCAATGCATTAGTTACAACATGTGGTTCTGTTATATGATCCCCCAATTGTGCTTGATGCACTAGATAGTTGATAATTTCACGTAATGGACTATGTTTGGTTAATTGTGTCAACTTTCTGGGTTCTGGTTTACCCTCAGGCAATCGATACACCCCACTGCGATATTCATTAATTTCGTTATATATAAAATGTGCTATTAAGTCTGCTACCGCTCCACCACAATCTGGTCGCATTTGCTGAAGTACTTGTACCCAACATTCACCAGGTATTCGATCTCTTTGTAAATCCACAACTTCACGCCCACTGGAACCTATATACTCTTGTACTGCTCTTATATGTTGACGATATTGAATTGGTATATGTCGTAGTGTCAACATAGAACTGGGATCATAATCTTTAAGTGCAGAGAATGCTTCTTTTACCAAATCAGATTTAGAATCTGGATGGCTTATAGTTTTCCATAGCTGTTCTAAGGCTTCATCAACCAATTTTTCATAATCATCGGTGGGCGTTTGCAGTGAAGGAATACGAGCAAAAAATCGAAATAATGATCTTAAGGAACGTGGACGTGTTTCATGACGAAATTTATTACTCAACACATTCCATGCAGATGTTATATTTATAACATCGTTAGTACAAAGTAAAGTTATAGCATCCAGTGCTAGAGATGTTGGCAAATCGCCTGCTTCATCAGAGTTTGAAGTAAGAGTTTCGGATAGTATACCAACAAAATCTGCTCCATGTTGTGTTGGTCTGCAATAATATAAAAAAATATTTGTTTAATATAAAAGGATATATAGAACTATTTAAATATATATGATTTACTTCTCGTTGCATATCTCTTTAATCGTGTTAGTCCTTGTAACAATAAATTCCCAATCTTTGTTTTTATTAGGCAGTGATAACAACTTGCAGAGAAATGTGTATGTACGTGGATCCACACGCCATAAACGCATATATAAATCCAAACAGAACGACGCATTTTCTGTAGTTAACTTACGAATAGTGCTCAAAATCATTGGAACATTGTCCTATAATGGTAAAGAAATATTAAAATTGATTTTTAAAGTCATTTATGATGAAAGAAACCATGTTTCTTCATAGAGACGTATTTTGAACAGTAGTGAATTACAACAACAAACTTTTTTATTATTTATTTAATCTAATTATGGCTGACCATATAGCTGTTTCGAGTATTGCCAAAAACCCATCATCAGTGATCTTGGAATTATTTCTTATATATAATTATTTGTAAATAATTTTTTGAGACTGCAAGGCCTAAGGGTCGTACCCTGTCAAATTTGAAGCTAAGAGTCAGTGCTCATTAGCCATTTAACTTAAAATCATATTTGACTTTTATATTTAAACTTGTAGTTTAGTTAATTTGCTGTGGAAGTTTATTAACAAGTTCACTTCCTGTGTCATATTGGATGGAAATCGTAATTAATAGAATAATTAGAATAATGGAATTAATTAAATTATTTTTAATTGTAAAGTAATGTTATAACTTAAAAACTTAAGATCTAAATTATATATAATTCTTATTGTAATAAACCTTAGATAGATAAAATCGTTAAACAAACGTACCTTGGATACTGCAAAACCAGGCAAACCACGCAGTAATTCCAATTGCACTTCCGGATTATGTTCATGTGCTAATTTAAATATGTAAGTCATTAGAAAATCATAAGCAATGTTGCTATTAATTTTGATTATTTCCAGCAATGATTCATAGATTTTGAACCAACAATCAATTGAAGGCTCATGCGATAAGAACAGCGCACGCAGAAATAAATGCAAACGTTCACAAAAAGCCGTATTTGATTTAACATTGAGTGTATCAACAAAATTAAATACATCCTTGAATTCGGACTCATCAAATGATTCTACCAAATTGGCTAAATCAAAAGCAATTGCAATATCTGTATGGAAATAACGTATTTGTGCTGGTTTTAGTTCTTTGGTACGTGTTGGACTCTCATAAGAGCTAGTGTTATTGGATAGTGATAAAATTTTCTTTATAATTTGATGAGCCAGCGTCATGCCTTCTGGGGGTATGAATGCAGTCTGAGACATCCACTGGATGATACCATCAAGACACATGTTCAGAATGTATTGATTCCCACAGTTCTCCTGTACAACGATAAATGCAATGTTTCGCAATAACTCGGGCAGATAGAACGGCGATAATATATGCAAACCATCAGCAAATAATATAAGTAAAACATTGTAATGATGTTGGGTGTGTTCCCGAGCTGAATGAAGTACACGCAGTAAAGAATTTAAACTTGGACGTGGATCTATACCATACTTCATAAGTATATTGACAACTAAAGCTTGATAAATGCATAAATCAACTGATAATGATATATCCTTAATACTAAGGAAATAATCAATTGCTTCGGTGAGAAGTATGCTCGTAAAGAGACAAGTCGCTGTTGAACATAATTTGCTCCATGATAATACCTCTAGGACAAGTGCATGTGCATCTCGATTAGTTTTACATAACGATAATAGAATAGTCCATATTGTTTTGGAATCTGATAAATTTTGTGAATTACAAAGTATATAGAGAAATACTGGACGTAGGTATTCAATGCTCATATCCCTTATCCTAAAAAATATATATATTAGTTTACATTTTTTGTAGAATAATAGAAATTGAATACTTACTGCGAGTCATGATGCGTGCAGATCATTTTAATTTTATTTCCAATGTCATTCATGTTGACTGAGGGATTTTGCAACAATATTATGAAAGGATGTTGTTGAATCTTCAGACCAAATTGACTTTTGTAGACCTCATCTTTTTTTAAATTGGCAGCTTTCCTTTTAAGTGTGAGCATCAACAAACTGTCTATAGACTCTGTTATTATTATATATTGGGTTTGGCTGAAATGGAATTCAGAAATATAATTATTATAACAATATTAGAATACAGACTATTAATACAGACAAAACAGTTTTATTCTCTAAATAGAAAGAATATAACTTTTAAGAAATCAGCAGTGCTGAAAAAAATAATAAGAAAGTAAAAAATTAATCGATATTGCTTATAAGGAAAAATAAATAGAGGGAAAACATATAATGACATATTAAAAAAATTACGAAACTCTAGAGAAGTTAAGTATAGGTACAATTTGTTTCTTAAGGTGAAGCTGAAAAAAGAGGTCCTAGTAAATAATTTACATATATATATACACACGGTGTCCTTAAGGACACATCCAAAGAAAACAAAAACCAGGCTAACTATCTACATTTTAATTGTCTACAATTTTTTTTTTATGACTGGGAACCCATATAAGAATGATATACGCTAATCGATTTTTCTCTCTGATTTCTACCCTACATTGTCTTACCAATTTTCATTTAATGGCGAAAGATTGAAGTATTTTAATTGACTGTCAATGAAAATGACAACCTGTCATTCATCCTTGATGTGATTTTTTATTAACCCACATGTCTTCCATAAGGCACGCGGTCTACGACAAAGACCTCTAAGACTGGTCTTTAAAACTGTGGCTTTATTAGGCAGCCAAAGAGAGTAATTTTAATCTGTGAATGGCAAAAATATTTCTGCACTTACTAAGTACCTAGTCTATTTTTGCGTTATCCGTGGAAATAAATATATTGTTATGAATTTAGAAACTAAATGAAATTAGAAATAGTTTTCTAAGTATATGATAGATAGTTGGAAAATAAATTGTATTCTATTATTATTATTAGAGAGAATTGTGTATTGGCGATTGCTAAAATTTAGAGCAATAAAGCGGTTATATACAACTAGACTCAACTATTTAATTGTTTATCGGGATCCAGCGATTGCGAACGACGACGCCAAATCCGAAACGTACGTAACAATATATTTCTTTTTCACTCATTTCTTAATAGAAATATTATCGTGATAAAAAACTTTTGAAACATAAATATGGAGTAAGTCTTCAGACTTTCTGGTCGCGTCCGGTAAACACCACCCATTCTTCATAATCTACCATCCACTATTCACATCGTAACTCATCATTCGGTTTGTAGATCCTTTCATGTAATCTGCTTTCTAAATCAAAAAGTGTTGTTTACAAAAAAAACAACACTATTCCGGAGCCAATGGTCGAGTTAGACTAATAATTGCTAAAGGGACCTACACAAGCAAAGCCCTGGCGGCTATAACCACAGTAACAATATATGCAGAGAATATTACATTTTTGAATAAGATTTATGCAACTTGTAGTAAAGAGACATAGGCCCTGAAGCGAAGAGACTTGAACAAAATTAATTGCCACGAAATCGTTTTGAAGAATTGATATGAAAAATGTTCCCTACCATGGTTGGTTGGTTGGAGTGGCGGCCTAGCATCCCAAAAAGCCCACTTAAGCACAAATAATGGCCCCTTGTGGTACCACAGGAGTTACGTTGATTTATATAAAGATTGTAATCAGTATACATTCAACGTCGAAAGAAAGGTAACGACTCCCCTATTAGGTAAAGAAAAACCAACTTGACAGTTCTATAAACTTGGCTAGGTCCCTAACATTACAGGATGTCAACTCAGTCAGGTCAGTTAGAATAGGAGATCCAAGGGTTTTTAATCTTCTTCTGGCTAGGGAAGGGCACTGACACATGAGATGAAGTACAGTCTTCTCCTCATCCTCAGAACCACAACCTCGACAAAAGTCATTAAAGGGGAGACCCAGTCTCATAGCGTGCCTTCCTATTACGCAGTGTCCCGTCAGCACAGATAACGTAGAGCTGAGCAGGTTCCGTCTTAGTTGAAGTAGCTGACTAGTTCTTTTCTTGTCTAAGTTCGGCCAAGTCAACCTAGAAATCTGACATTGAGGTTCGTCAGCCCAGTATTGCTTGGCTATGCTCAGGTATTTTTGTATGATTGCCAGTTTAACTGTAGCAAGTGGAACGCCTATATCAGAGAGGTTATTGTTAGGGAGAAGAGCACCTGTCTTGTCTAGGTCGTCTGCCCTACAATTTCCTGTGATATCCCTGTGACCAGGTACTCAAATAAGTTTGACCCTAACAAACCTAGCTAGGTCGTTTAGTGAAGCAGTTCCCTACCATGGTTACATATATATATGTGCAAAATATATACAACTTTTGTTATTAGATACAATTTTACTTAATTATAAAATATTCAAACCTTAAATAAATAACTCTAATTTTTTTATTACATCCATATCAAGTAAGCCAGGATATCCATCTAAGGATTACTGATATTTTTTGCTGAATATTATTTTTATGATTTTATGTCAACAAAGCACTTGGGGTAGCTGTTGACATTTGTGGGTGGGTGGAGATTAATGAAATCAATCCGTATATTTCCTGCAAAATTTTTTATTTCAATTTACTGTTCTTACTACGGCGTTACTTATGCAAATATGCAAACACGCATGCAGCAAGGTAAACTTTTTCTATGATATCCTTCGGACCTTTCGTTTTATTGCTAATGTTTCAAAAATCCTTCAAATGCTTTAGGATTCAAGTTCAATGAAGGGCGGTGGCATAAGCTTTTCTATAAAAAAAAAGTTATTTCGTATTTAAAATTGATTTCTTAATGTAAAATAAATTAGAAACGATTTCACTATCAAGGCCAAAGGATATATACACAATATGATTGAATAATTAGCATAGACGGAAACAGGAAGTAATAAATAATTTAAGTGCTTTTTTTCAGAGGAAAGAATAATTGCATTAAAAATGCGAATATTTTAATCTTTAATGATGGTTTTAATAGCAGTAAATTAGGCGTCAATTGCGTAAAGTTTAACACTTATAATCGTTTATATATATGTACTTAATCACATATATTTGTATGGGTTACAGTTTATAACTGGCATGTTAGAGTTTTACGCACCTACGAGTTTAGCAAGTAGGTCGTTTAAACCAAAATAGAAAATTTGAGTAAAATGTGCTAATGAGGCTATTAAGTTTATTCAACGGTAGAGAATTACAAGGATTAACAACACGCGCTTCCTTTGTCCTATTTTCACTGGTTTGCATTCTGTGCAGAGGGTACTTAAACAAACTAAAGAATTGTGTTTATAAGTTTCCTTAATGTTACATTATAAAAAAACTATACATTTTGCTTAGTTTATGCCAAAATATATTACTACAACTAAATAAAAAATAAAACTCAATTTCGAAGCTACATACCTACAAGCAAGCACCTTTGTTATTTTACGTAGCATTCTATGCCGTGTTGGCCTAATACTACGGTGTTCAAAAACACACGTATTAATATAAAGCGTCAATCAATGCCCCATTGGAATAGCCTTCCTTATTCCGCTGGTGCCAATGAAGAAATTCATATAAGTCATAACTTCCATCTTGGTAAGATGCGAGGCCTACCTTAAACCTCTGCTACAATTTGGGCTGTAGCACCCGGTATGAAACGCACTCCACAGCGAATGAATGATAATCCTATATCTAACTCATTCTTCCCGCGTAAGTTTGGGTATTAACCAACAGCCACTACGAAGCCAACGCCAATGGTCAGAACAGCCGAAGCTGTGGGCCACTGACCCCCGTAGTACCAGATCAGTTCATCTCTGGTCAGATGTCGCGAGTGCGGATCTCACTCACTACCATTTGCACTTCGAAGCTACATACAATCATATTTTGTAGGCTATAATCTGTAACCACTGATTACTCTTATTAACATGTCTATACATAGATAGGTATAACAGTTATAACAGCTATTTCAAGTATCCAATTAAGTCTATTGGTCCAATTAAGGCTATAATCAGTAACCTCTGATTACTCTTATTTGCATATAGTATAGTTAGAAACGTATAACAGATATAACAACTATCTCAAGGCTCTAAAGCCGGTGGGTTGAAAGATACTTGAAGTGAAGGGAGAATCGTGTACTACTTTAATTAGATGAAAAAGTTGTTTTGATTCCCTATCTGTGTGTGAAAGATTGGGCCTTTGAAAACCAGTCGGACTTATTGACTAATGCAAGTATTTGACATATTTTAATGTTGGATATATCGTTGAATAAATTAAAGCATGCAGCACTTATAAACTGAACCCTGGATAGTGACACTGTAGGTGTTGTAAAGAACTTGCAAACATGATCTAAGAAGTTTCGATAGGACAGACCCTTTCTAGAACCATACAGTTCTATAGTCCAGTAACTCGTCATAACTGATATTATTTTATTGTAGATACTTCCTGCTTGTTTTTGTGGATTAAGTTAGACGAATTCTTGTTTGCCGGTCGCAAAAAATTATCTTAATTCTGAAACTGCTGAAACTTGTCACATATGTTTCTTAACTTATTCATTGAAAAAATTATATTTGTTAAATATTGATTTGATATTACGTATTATCCTTTTATACTAAAATTCTTTCAATTACTTATTGTCATTTCCTTTAAGGCAGATGTAATTAAAAATAAATATAATAAATAAAAATTTTATCTGCTCTGCACTGCTACCTAATAAGTTGATGAATTCTTTACATTCAGGCATTACCTTGGACGAAATGCAGATTACTAACAAACAGCACTAATAATTGTCTGAGTATCTGTGATAATATTGGCTTTTTTTCTTCAAACTTTATGGTCACAGCATATAAATATGTACTTCCTGTCGAAGACCCAGTCAATTGGCTTTTAGAATAGTGAAAACTTCCGATAGAGAAAATATATTGTAATAGAGATGCAAAAAAGATAGGATTTACAAACCAAGGTGCAAGGGATTACAAACGTCTCAGAGGGATTACAAAAGCACGGGTTACAACAACAACAGTAAAATTCGGATTACCGGCAAATATTGTTTGTTGAATCGATACAGGGTCTAATAATTAAGTAACGTATATCTTAATGGTAGTTAAAATGATTTATCATTGAATATTTTATAAAGTGTATTATAATGCAGTATATAGTAAAAGAGATAGGAAATGTTTCCAAGTAAAGGAGCATAAAATATTGAATTTCGGTGTATATTTTAAAACAAAAGCATGTAACCATTAATTTTTGTTATTGTGTGACATTAGAACTGGAAATTTTAATCAGCTATTGAATGCATATTTTACATTCACAACAAAGATATAGTTATGTTATTGGGTCTAATAAGAAATATGAGAAATGTTTTTTACGTCGTAAAAGAGAGCTAATTATGACGCAGTTGGTACGAATGACATTTGTCGTTTGGATAGACAACTAGTTTTGAGAAATTGTCGCTTCTGAAAGCTGTCTTTTACTCTACCTTTCTCGCACACCTTTCACGAAATCCCATCCTAACACATTTGTTTGTTTTGTGATCTATTCAAGTTTTTCGCTTAACACGTTTTTTTACCGATACTACAATAGTACAGTATTGTAATTTGGTTTTTAAATTTATTTTGGAAGTGGAATGACCTTTATTGTTATGTTTTGGATATGACAACTCACTAGCGCTATGCGACGCTACTAAAGGAATGAAATTAGTTGATATAGGATTAGCGTGCCAACCATTGTTGCTTCCAAAAATGTCATATAGAACTAAACTAATAATTAATTTCATTAAAACAAGGTGACTGACTATGTGGCTTACAAGGTGGCAAAATTAGGAAGGATTAGGATATCAGTAATTGCATGTATAAAAATGATTGATGACTTAAACGCGAACATTGGTCTGAATTTCATGTCAGGATATGTTATATATTATGTATGTGAAATATCCAGCACGAAAGGTTTTAACAATTAGGAAACCTATTTGAAAAATATAACTCCTAAGTAAATTCGAAACGGAGTTTGAAGCTTTTCATAGTGAAATAAACTGTTTCCCAATGCAATAAATTTAACTGCGGCAAGGAAGTGAAGTTTAAAAGTAGCACGTCAACATAAAACTTAAAGAAAAATGGCAACAACAAATATCTGTCTGATTGTTATACACGCACAGTGCAAACAGCTTACTTAGTTAAAAGTAATTGAGCACCCACTGACTATTGCGGAGGATAATGCATACAATTGCAGCGGTCGGTAAAAACACTAAGAGACAGCGAAGCAGTTTACTCCAATCCACATGCACTCAGTTCAAGGTATGCTAAACGGAAATGACACAGCTAAGCCAGTAGTGAAGCATTAAGACCTGACCACTTAAATAGTTAGAATATCAAATGAAAATCAATGTAAAGGAAAGTGCGCGAAAATAAAAATAATTTATGCTGTTATCCTTGAAGCGATTTGCTTTTGCTTTGTAGCAATTTCCGTACGGGAAACGGAAATAAAAAGGCGTAAACGCCTTACACTTTTGTTAGCAAATTGCACTATTATATATTATAGTTATCTTTATAAAATAATTCATAAACTTACGATGCAGTTGGCAGTAAAGATATTAGCATTGACAAAACATTTGTGACATCTATTTCACCATCTTCCACCAGACGCACAAACGTTTGGCAGCTCAAAAGACTTAATTTTGCATTCTCTGTTTTACATTGTGCTTTCAAAAATTCAATTTCCTTAATATTATGATCCAATATGTTTTTGGCGTGGCTTTCACAAATTTTCTGGTAAATTTTTTCCAAACAAGCACTGATTTTCACCACTGATGAATTGAGTGTAATTGATTTGAATTCATCCATTGCAATAATATTACTCTTACGTATTGGTTAACTAAAATGATTTGAAAACTTAATTAAATGCAAATAAATGAAATTTTTTTTATATGAAATTGTAAACTTGCTAATGCAGCGTTTTGTTGTGCCAAACAATTTCTCTTTTGCGATGTACAATCCCGCCACAACAACACGTCCACACACGGTTAACTGCTACTTACGTATAATTTGCGATACGCCAATTGCTGTAGATTTGGTTTTGTAGTTTGTTACCAATTTAATAGTTTACAGCGCAAGTCCTTGCGTGTTTGTTTTTAACTTTTATTATTAACGACAACAAAAAATTGGTAATAGAACTAACAACCAAAACAAAACATTGTGAAAGCGGCAAAAACAGCTGATTCCAGCTTTACTTGTTTACAAGTGAAGTTAGCTGCGTTGATTTAGTTTGCGTCACATGGTTTGTTTATGAACTAAAAAATTCACTGCAGATGGCGGCGTAACTTCGTAAAAATCGTTTACACTTTAAATTGTTGGTTAAATATTTATATTTTTAGAAATAATTTAGATATATAGGTAAATAATATGTTAAATAATATATATTATAATACATGTTAAATAATATAAAATAACATATGTTGGGCATGACTGTATATAATTAATATATGACTTTTATTGCTGTCAATCCGTATATATAACATTAGATATGTTCCACGATCTACTCGTAGTAAAACTCACGTAAAACACAAGTCAAGTACAAACTGAGAGCGGTTATTTAATTGAACAGCTTTGTGTAAAATCTGGTGAGAAAACCAGAACCGCGTAAATAAACAACACAAAAATTTAAACTCGAACCAAACAGCTGATTCACACATCACACAAATTTTACTTGTTATAAAATTAACGAGTAAAGTCAGTGTAACATTTTCAAATTTCAACAGGGATGTTACGTACTTGTATATATACAGTGTTACTCAAAGTTACTACGAGTAGCTCGTGGAACAGACCTATAACATGTTCTTTATTCCTTGAGTGTTACTTCCTTTAGTATAAGATCTTCAATTTTTGTTTTAAATTTTGTTCAGCTGTTTTTATTTCTTTATTGCTATTTTATTAGAATTTGTAAACATAAATAATTTTAAATAAATTCTTTATATATAGAACAAAATTGATGTGGATTTATATGCTTTGTTTTACTGGAGCTTTATTAGAATTGGAGAATGGTGAAATGATAATTCAAGAGATGTGGAGTTGCGTCAAACGGGGTTTCTATTGATTTCCTTAATAATACAGAAGTTCATAAGTCAATTTTAGTTTGTCTGAGAGTCGGTAAATTGGTGTTCCTGTAGATAGATGGTTAAAGTTACTATGTATATATTATATAGATTATATATAGATACTATATTATCGTATTTTTCGGTTGTAAGATACATTACCACACGCAACAGAATTAAATGCTATTTTTCACTTAAAAATGATATGTAGTTCAAAGAAATATGTTTGATAAATGTGGCTATAAACATAGATCATATTGCGCAATGGATAATAACCAGAAGAGCTGCGTTAAACAAAAGTTGTCGCAATTCAAGTCGTATTAGGACCGCATGCTCTGAATGTTATAATGGAAGCGATATATGTATATTTAAATCAACTATTGTTTAGTGAGGGATAGTCATAACTCATTGTTATTTAAGTTGCACTTCTATTGTGTTGATAGGAGTGAGACAACAAGATGTAAAATCAAATGCAGGAAATTGAAAAACTAGGACAGTCATAGTCCTTCGTAATTTAAGTTGCAATTCTACAACTTTCTGTTGATTAAAGTAAGATTGTGAGTTCCCCTTATAGACCTTCTCTCGCTTGAGCAACACACATACATGCATATATGCTAATAATTTTTGATGCTGTTTGTGAAAACATATCCTACTCATATATTATTAGTTGGAAGAAAAGAGATAGTATAAAACTTTTAATTTACAGTTATAAAAAGTTTCTGCTTTTTCAATGCAGTAAATTGGTGTTTGCGTTTCGATAGAATGAGCGTGTTGAACATGGCTGAAGAAATCCTAGCAAATATGGAAGTCAAGTAAATATTCAAATTTTTATTAATTTAATTTAGATTAATAATAAATTTATTGTTCTTATTTTAGAAATATTTCCGCTACATTCAATTTAGGAATGGAGGTCGATCTGTTCTATATTTACTGTCGCACACGCAATTCCGAGTATAGTCCCCGAGACTTTCCGGGGTTACGAATGCGCATGCGGATACCTGTTTCTTGTGCATTGATATTTAAATCCGGGAAAGTGAATGTGGTTGGAACGAAGAATGAGGCTGATGCTCGCCTTGCGTCTCATAAGTATACTAAGCTTTTGCAGAAAATTGGCCTTAATGTTGTTTTTAAAGACTATAAGTTGAATAATATAGTAGCAACTATCGATGTTCATTTCCCCATAGAATTGGAAGAATTAAATAGGAGACACATGCAGTTTACAAGTTACGAACCAGAAGTGTTTGCAAGTTTATCATACCGTCTTCCGAATATGGTTTTTAATATTTTTGCTAGTGGTAAATTGGTAGTGACTGGTGCGAAATCGCGTGATGCTATTAAGGACGCCTTTGAATATATTTACAAGGCTTTGGTTGCCTTAAAATAGATAAAATAGATTTGTATTTTTGTTTATGAAATATTATTGTAAATAAAAGTATTAATAAATTTTGTTAACAAAATATATTCAAATATGTTTATTTTAACTAAATGGGTTTGGGTGAATGGGGCGTTAACGCAAAATAATATGTAATGTTTGTTGTATTTAAAGAACATATTGGAAAGAACACACCGTAAAAGTTGTGTGTGTAAGGTTCAAAACTATGCAGGTCCATAGGTATAATTAACAATTATAATAATCACAATGTTGCATTAATTGTGAGACAAATTCGTGTTAATGATAATATATCTAACTTTATCGTTAATATATCTAATAAAGCCATAGAAAGAACGCCTGGAAGCGGCATTTAGGAGATGAAAAATAATATTGATTTGGATGAACAGAGCCGAGATGAACAGAGTAATATTTGGAATAAAATAGTAATTAAAAGCTTATGCTAGGGGAATCTTTATTATATTCATAGCAAAGTATCGCAATTCATTCGAATTCGAAGACGTGACGAACGTGTCCTATGTTCTTTGGGTTGTTCTTTGAGCTATTTTTTGCATAGTTTTTGTGTTGTACTTTGCGTTATTCTTTATATTGGTGTTTGTCTTGTTCTTTGTGCTGTTCTAGTGTTGTTTAATGATTTATGTTGTCCCTTATGTTATGTATTTCTTCCTTTTTCTGTTATTCTATGTATTTTTTTATGTCTTCTTTTATGTGGTGATCTTTGTGTTGTTCTTTGTATTGTTCTTGTGCTATTCTTTGCCGTTGCTCTTTGTGTTTTTGTATGTGTTTTTCTATTTGTTCTTTTGCATATTTTTCGATTTGGTGCTTTTTGTGCTGTTCTTTGTTAAGTTCTTCGTATTGTTGTTTGTGTTGCTTTTTAATTGTTTTTTGTATTGTTCTTTGTATTGATCTTTGCGGTGTTCTTTGTGTTCTTTGCGTTTTACTGGATTCACACGAGAGTTTTGTTTGTATTTTTAGCTGTCATGTTTGTAATTTGAGGTGAAATTTGATCTTGCTTTCAACTCAAAATGATAATTTTTGACAGCTAATATTACAAACAATCGTGTGAGTCCAGTATAATGAAATTTAGTTAACAATAATAAAAAGATGAAAATAATACTGTAATCGTTTTGAAATACTTACGATTCAGTTTATAAATAGCATTAAAGATTACAATATTCACCACATTTTGGTTTTTTACTCCAAATATCAAAAAAAAAAAAAAATTGGTTTATTAACATAAAACTAAATTTAAAACAAAAATAGCTAATAGATTTTTTAAAATAAAATACTTTAGCAAATTAACATCCAGCAGATTTCTTGGCTTAGTCAAGTTGAGAGAATAAATGAAGAAGAGCCAGCGAAACAGATATTTGAAGTGTTAATTGGGGGAAAAAGTGGTAGAGGTAGACTGTGTTTTCGGTGGTTCTCTTAACTGGATCAGTTAATCGCATTTGATGTACGAGACTGGATAAGGAGCGCACCCAGCAGAGGGACCTGAAGAGATACGCAGCGTCAGATCGAAACTCAGTAATGAGTTGTTATGGTCAAGCAAGTCAAGCAAGCAAGTAAATACTCATGGATATTTGATGATATCAAAAACAGCTGTATGGTCAATTCAAGGCTTCAGTTAATTGAAAAAATTTTTTTTCTTTTGGATTTAATAATTTCCTCACTACTACTTTTTTTTCTATTTGAAATAGATTTATTCTCATAGTACAAAATACTGGTAATAACAGTGTTTATATTTAAGAAAACAATAAATCTATAACAGGTTAACAAATTTATGTAGCGGTGTTTGATGCGTTGGTTCTAAAAATAATATGATAAGAGCAATTGTTGTTCACGAATAAAGAGGAGTGTTAATAACAAACAGGTTTCATTACTGATGATTTCTGACAATTGGTTAAATGCCAATTATTTAATTTTTAATAATTCAGGAAATAAATGAAAGAATAAAGAACAAAGCAAATAAAAGCTTTAGTAGATTATTTAAAGCACTCGGTTCAAATATGCTTACTAAAAAGTCAAAATTAGGAATATATAAAATGCAAATATCTCCAATCTTAATATATGGTGCAGAGACTTGAACTATGAAAAAATCTAAAACATAAACTAAATATCTTCGAAGATATATATAGATCTCTAATTGGTCCAATTAGAGAAGAAGACGGCACCTATCGACTGAATTTTTAAGACGAATGTCTAAAACAGCTAAGAAAACCAGCAGTAAGCAAGAGAATGAAACTAAAGCAATTACAATGGTCTACACATATTCAAATAA